TCTACCAATACAAAGAAAATGTCCCCACGATAAATATTAATTTTCAAAAATTCTATAGTAGTAAGTTAGGTAAGTTGATATAGTAATTACTGTGACAATGGCAGTAAAAAAACAAAAAACTCTGAAACCAGTTTTGCTTTCCGCGAGTTTCACCAAGAATAGTTTCCGTGCTCCTTTGGGACAATTTCTTGAATGTAGCACTTATTCAGTCTTACTTCAGCTTTGGTTTAGTATTTTTAAAGCAGACCTATTATGCAAAATTGACTTTTCAGCGGTTTTAACCTTATTATAGTTGTTTCCCTTCTCATTTATGCTCTGGAAGTTGCATTTGGGGTGATTTGTGCATGTTTGAGCAAGTTTTAATCGCTTCTGTTCATGTTGCGGATCAGCTCCCGTGTAATCAACCAATCAGAAAGCGTTTTGAACTTTTCCACCTTTTTGCTTCTTCTTGGCAAAAGTCTAAACTGTTAATGGTCAAAGCAAAGCGGCAACATGTGTGTTTCACGACAGATTATATCCGTAAGTATTATTTATTTGTACAGTTTGAGTAATTCCAGCGTCATGTTAAATGTACATAAACAGAATGATGTTGGAATGTGATCAGAGCCTCTCCAGTACGTACGCTGACAATGAGAGAAGTTTACAAGTTAGTTAACGATAGCACGGCATGAGTCTTGATGTTTGCTGTTGATAGGCCGCGTAGGAGAAGAAAAAAATGTATGTTCAACAGGCAGACGATGTTGGTTTTCATCTCCTCCAGTACCTGCCCACTTTTATGTAGTTACTTCTTTCTCCAGTTTTATTTTCTTAATTGGTGGTTGGAGGATTCATCAGCCGGTTTCACTTTGTGGAAACCGTCTGACCTTGCAGCGTTAGAATTCGTTCATTTTATTTAACCGATTGCTGCTAGTTGGTCGTGACGTATATAATGCGCCAAATCCCTTAGGAAGAAGGACAATAGCATCTTTCGCATTGATAAAATTCACCAAACATTCTCTTTGTTCCAAGTCAGGCTGGTGCCATCTAGTGCCTCCGCTCAATTTCATTTCACTACAGCAACTAGGTCAGGAATCAAACTACATTAGACGGTTCGCAAAAACCCCAGAAGTGTGAGTTCGGGCACCAGCCAGTCAGCGAAGATCCATACATTCTGTGTTGGCAACGATTCCCGAGATCAAGGATTTAAAGCCGGAACAAAGAGAATGTTTGGTGAATTTTATCAAGGGGAAAGACGTTATTGTCCTTCTTCTTGCGGGATTTGGGAAAAGCTTAATATACCAGTTAGTCCCGTTAGCGGCGCATTATATACGTCACGACCAAATAGCAGCGACTGGTTAAATAAAAGAAGTATCCACCTACCGTCGAGTGAATAAATCCTAACACTGCGATGAACCAGGCTACTTAGTTCCAGCTTTAAATCCTCGATCTCGGGAATCGTTGCCAACACAGAATGTCTGTCTTCGTCTACATCCGTCTCGACGCTTTGTTTACTGTTGTGCTGTTCCACAAAAGGGACCCAGACAGACGCTTGAGTTTGACGTCATGGCTTCACAGCTCTTCTCTGACTGGTCTACAGCTTCCGGGGTTCTTGCGTTGCTCCTCTGACAAGCGGTTCAGAGGGCATATGCACTGGTGAAGTAAACCTGTTAATGAAGAAAAGACAGAGTACGTTTTGAGCTGCTTTACTTCACAACAGAAGATTGTTTCTTCCTCTGCAGTGCTCAGTTTACTCTCTACCCACATTGAGACATGAGCCATCGAATGGTCAAGGTTAGGTTAGGTTAGGTTGCTTTATTCGTACCCGTAGGTAAATTTGCTTTGCAGATTTAAGAGACAGGTTCCACATTTCACATTTCATTCATCCACAAAACACACATAAAAACACGATAAAATGTTACAATAAAGTGTTACAGAGCTCCAGTGC